ACGGCTGCAAACGGATTTAATATAAAAACATTCAAGTTCTAAGTGAAGAAGGTAATTCTCAGGTTGAGATTGCCAATTTGGTGGAATGTTCGCGGTGCACGGTCCAATGTGTTATCAGGCGATTTGTGGAGACGAAATCCCACAATGATAAATCAAAAAGTGTAAGAAAGCGTCTAACCAGTAAACGAGAAGACCGAATACTTATACGCGAACACGGAGAGACAATATTCACTGGTCTCTCTTGAGTCCAACTTCTCACCATTAAGCTCATTCGCCATGGACAGTAAAAGATAGTAATCACTTGGTGCCAGGTCCGGACTATAAGGTGGATGCATTAGGACCTAACATCCGAGCTCCTGGAGCTTCTGGCGCGTCACCAAAGACGTGTGTGGCCTGCAGTTGTCCTGATGGAACACAATTCGGCCTCTGTTCATCAAAGATGTTCTTTTCTGGAAGAGTGCTGCCTTCGAGCGGTCGATTTGTTGGCAGTAGAGGGCCGAATTGAGCGTTTGGCCATAGGGGAGCAGCTCGTAATAGATGATTCCTTGCCAATCCCACCAAACACACAACAAAACCTGGTGCATCTTTGACATCGAAATTACCGGAACGGAACCTAGCAAACCATATTTGGGCTACACGTTCGTTTACAGTATAGGGCGCATAAACTAAATTAATTTTTTCAGCAGTACTATGCAGAATAACGCCATCTATTAGATAAAAACCGAACTTTTTACTTGACCTTTATTAAATACATTTGTGGTATAGATAACAAAATTGCCGATAGGACCTCTTCTGGATTCGAAAGAGAATCGATACATATTAACAGTCATTGATAGACATACTTGATGGCCTGAAGCATATCAACTTAAAGACATTTCAGCGGTTTCGGTTGCATCTACTTTTATTCAAATTTATGTTTCTCGTTTCGGTATTCCATTCAATATAACCTCAGATCAAGGAGCACAAATTACTTCAAAATTATTTAATAAATTAACAAAATTATTAGGACCTCACAAAATACACACTTCTCCTTATCATCCACAGTCAAATGGAGTGATTGAAAAATTTCATAGAACTTTAAAAACTACAATTACAGCATTCATTGGTTTGAAATTTTAATTTAGGTTTACGAACAGCGGTTTAGGAAGATCTAAAATGTTCTTCAGCTGAATTAGTTTGTGGTCAAACACTGAGGCTTCCTGGTGAACTTATTGTTTCCAATTAAAATTATAATAACGAAATCGAAAATACAAGTGAAATTCTTTCTAAATTATGAAAAAATTTCTCACTTTTTCGATCGAGAGTTTACATCATAATAAAGAAAACATTTAGTTTCATTCCTAAACACTTAAGTGTTATGAATTTGTATTTGATCTATTGTAGAATTCTATTTTAATATTTATAACTTGCTATTCTAAATTTTTCAGATTTTATATTACTGAATTTTAACTTCCAATTATTTTCTTTTTCGAAATTATTATAATTTTTACTTTCAATCAAACAAGAAATTAAAAAAAAATTTATTAAAATAAATAAAATATTAAAGTTTGTATAAAAATAAATATATAAAGCTTTAATTAATATAAATATATAGATACATTTATATATACAAAGAAATATTATTTTGGTTATTGCTATATATCTGTCTTGAGACATTTCTTATTCTAGATTTCTTTCTATTTCTACCTCCTCTAGATCTAGACTTAGTTTGTAATTCGCAGTAATTTTGTTTAAAAATTAATTAAAAAACTAATAAAATAATATAAATAAAATAATCAAAATAATAATTTCATCTTGATTCTGGTTATTAGATGAAGTTAAATAGATTTAAATTCTCTGTGGTAACTTACGAATCACTATTTTCAAAAGTAGTTCATAACTAACAATTAAATCAGAACCATTTAACGGTTTTGTATGTGTGAAAAGTGTTGAAGCAGAAGGATTATCAGGTTGAAAATTCGAGAAAGTTGCTCCGATCCCCTTCATTCAGAAGATTTCTCTCACAAAGGACTTTCTCAAACGTTTCGTATTTATTCAAAGTGGAGGTGGACTAATAACATCAATAATCATTGAAGAGCAATTAAAACATTTTTAAATTTATAAAATTAAATAATAAAGATTATGACTATTATTAATTTAAAATCTTCCTTCAGCAAGTATTAACGCATGATTGGAGAAAGAGTTTACAGCAATTTAAATATTTTAAATTTAGATTAGAAATGAGAGGTAATATAAACATTTCAAGGAAATATCTGGCTGCTTGGTCTCATACTGATATGAAAAATATTGATATTGATGTTAATTGAATCGTTAGTTGGCAGATTTGCATTTGCAAAATTAATCTTAAAATATTTTTACATCACAAATAACAGAGATAATTAATAATATTGTAAGTATTCCTTTCAATTTGCACCCAGATTTTTTTTTTATTTAGCTTAATTTATAATTTATAAACAGTATAATATAAACATAATTGGCGCTCTGAAACCGCTGAAGCGATTTTCGGTCGAGCTCTTCCTCCAATTTGTGGTTTTGTCAGATTTTCATGATGATCCGGCTCGAAGGACCATATTTACGCGAGGGTCCCTTCGTAAGCCTTTCGAAATAGAACACCTCGAGTTTCGAACTTAATTGTATTCTTACAAAATATATCAAAGTTATAATGTGTATTTATGTGAAAGTCTATATTTGTACAAATGTTTATTTTAATTTAATTAACGATAATTTATAAAAGTTTAAATGTTATGTGGCAAAGCAACCCTTTGTATAAATGTTTGTTTATACAATATTATTTACAAAATATTTATGAACATATATGAATATTTCTTTTTTCAAACAGTTTTAATGTAGGTTGGCCACGATCAATTTCAATTAATTTTTTTTTACGTTTCCGTGCACATTCACTTGATTACTTCAATATTTTATATATTTAAAAAAGAGTTTGACTTTTTTTTGTTTTTAGTGACACTGTTTTAATAGAGTGCCAATTCAAGGTTGGCTCGAAGGACCATATTTACGCGAGGTACTTCCTTCGAGTTATTTCAAAATAAAAAGCCACTCGCGTATTCGCTTTTGTATATTTGTACAAATCTTTATTTCAACTTAATTAACGATAACTTATAAAAGTTTTAATGTTATGTGGCAAAGTAACCCTTTGTAGAAATGTTTGTTTATGTTATTTACAAAATATTTATGAACATATATGAATTTTTCTGTAGCTATGATATCAAATTACATAAATTTAATTAAATTTTAAATATTGCCGCCCCGTGCGCGTTTACAGTTGATTGGTTAAGAAATCTCGCTTTTTGCTTGACAAGCAAGGCTTATATAGCTGCATGCGTTGATGAAGGCTTATTAGGGTGCGCGCACAAAATTAGGGTGGTGTCCTGTTTAAGCGCACGCTCAAACAATGTTTTTCCAACAATTGGAGGTATCCACAGTTTATACTAAGCCGCCTCCGAACGGCTTTTAGATAGTGTTTTATTGTTCTCTCTTTTTGAAAACGTAATTCTACACAATTACCGCCCATTTAAAATAAATGATTAAAGAAAAATGCTATCCTTTTGCTTTCCTTTCTGTTGCACAAAGCAAATACCTACAATTATATGTATAAAATACATATGTATGTATGTATATTCATAAACTTTAATATTAAATTTTTAATTTAAGTCTTATCAAAATCAATTTTATTATGATCAAAATGTGAAAAAGTATTTATTGTATAAATAAAAACAAACTTAAATAGAAATTTAAACAGGCTAAGAATTGTAAAGATTTTTTCTACAACTCCAACTTGTGGTTATTATTGATGATAAAACTCTTTATTTACATGTAAAATATTTTAGGGAAATAGAGGTTTCTTTCTATTCAAACAACTAGCATTAATAAAGATTTATTTATTTAAGGCATTTAAGTTGAAAAAGTATTGCTCAGTAATATTTCTTAACGTGGTTCATACCTTACTAACTGGGGGTTTACAGTTAAAGTAAAGGAATTTATCTCAGAGGAGTATCTAAACATGGCCGGCGTTCCTTAAAGAAGCGTTTTGGGACCAATACTATATGTCTTATTCGTCACATTCACTCTGAAGACAGAAACATGCCCAATACTGAAACTAAAATACAGCATCTCAAACTTACAACCTCCAGCCTAAATTGGTTACTGTGTAAAAATTCAGTTGAATCATAAAATCTTTCTATATAATTTTGTCATAAAGCCAATATAGATGTACGGAATACAATTAAGGGATTCTGCTTGCGCAACTAGTATCCATAAAATACAGCGATTCCAATCGAAAACGCTGCAATACTTTACAGGTGCACCTTGGTATATGCGCAACGAAAACATACATAGAGACCTTGAAATACAAATGGTAGACAACGAAGTGAGCAACACCTGCCAAAAATACCTGTCGAAACTGCAAAATCATCCGAATCCTTTAGCAAACGTTTTATTTTGAAGAGCAACGTTTTACCTGACGTCCATTGTTATTAATGGACTAAAGTAGTAATTTTTTAGGTATTAATATTCTAAATCTTATTGTTAGGCTTAAATCAAGCAGATTCAATAAATAAATCTCTGTACAAAAAAAAAATTATTGAACGTGTTGCGCAAATCAATTGTACAAACAAGTAATGAAGCGAACTTACCCACAGCTCGTCGTATTTCCAACTCATTGCACTCAGATCAACACTGTAAAGCATTCAACACACACAACATCACATTCTTAACATACATAAAGCGACAAAGCGAAATTTCAAATTAAAAGTTGTGAACATAAAAAGGCAGTGTGTGTATTTACTATCCATCGTCTAGAATATATCTCCCGGTGAATCTGGGTAGCAAAACAAGAGAAATCAAATATTTAATGATAGCAAACAAATGTTTTATAAAAAAATTTGAGATGATAATAGATGAGCAATGCAACCTGTAATATAATAATAATTCCTAATTTATTATTTACGTCTAATGCTTTTTCTTATTTACTTATTCTACAGATACCGAGCCTTATAAAAGCTTATATAGTGGACAACGTTGGAAAGACCTTGTGTTGAACTTTCGAAATGAAAACTATCGTCTTTTTCAACTATCTATTCAGTCTTTACTAAGTGTGGCAATACAAGTATGCTTTGTATAACATTTGTGAACTATTTTTAAGTATTTCCTTTCAGGCTGGGTTGTCATCACTAAAAACACCGCAGTGCTATACCGAAAACTGTAAAAACCTACATTGTCCTGTTTGTCAGAAAGATTTTAATCAAATTGCAAAGAACCTACCGTATTCGCATTGTGTTCAGAGTCGTCTTATTTGCAGGTAAGGCATAGCGATAAAAAAATTATTTTTAATTAATACTATTTTTTGATCAAGTGAGTATACAAGTAGCACTGCGATTTAAAATATTGCAGATCAACGGGAAATGCTAATATGCTATTTATGAGGACTTTTTTTATTTTATTATTGTATTTTATTTATGTTAAGTACATAGAATGCCACATAACTGTCGGGCAATAACTTCTAGTTTGAAAGCTCTGTGTTTGCGTCTTATTGGTTCGGTGATCATTCATTTAACAAATTTATTTAATTTAAAGCGGTTTTCATCAGATTTTCTATTATTAATTAATTTCTGTGCTTCTTCCTTTTTTAAATTGGAACGCACGATTTACCTGTGAGACCGACTTACATCCTTCGTGTATATGGATCTGAACCAGCGACCTATATGATTTATATTTTAAATGATTTGTCACAGATTCACAGAGTTACTCTGCATTTCGTTTACGTTTTTACTCTCCGTATCGTCGCAATCGTAGTTAGGTATTGCACGTTACGATCGAATCGAAATAAGAAGAGTATTACAGAAGACATTTTTGAGGTCAGCACATAAATGTGGGAAATTGAAACACAACAAAGCAAGCAGACCGATTTAATCGGAAGATCGTTTGGATATTCGAAGAAACAAATTTGAAACATAGATTAATATCTTATTATACAAAATTATTTACGAACTCCTTTATCTAGAGCAACCTACTTTGAATGATCTTGTAGGCAACTGTTTTTCATAAATTTGTTAAACTTGTTAAACTGCAATAGTCTATTGAATTCTTAGCATTAGGCAATCTAACTTCAGTAAATCGTGAATAGTCCATATTATGTAAAGCATACCATATACTATTTTTGTATTGTACAGTAAATGTGGCTATTTTATAATAGAGTTCTAGTGAAAATTATTACTTCATTTCTGGCAGTTTCCACAAGCTTTATCGCATATGAAGTTTTTAAGTGTCACTTCACTGTAGCCTTCAAGTTTGCTAACGTAAATAACATATGTATATGTAATTGAACATCCTCCACCTTTACATAAATTTCTAATTATTTTAGCACACTGGTTTTATTAAGCATCGACGGCAACGATAAGTTTGATGAGTTGATTATTACCCGTGTCAAAAAATAGTTTCGAGTGATCTGTTAACGTTATACGACTTTTGTTTATGTTTTGCCTTCCAATACCCTTATTAACACCGTTATACAGCTCGCATTATGCCGGATTAGTACCGATTTACCTGCACTTTCCGATTAAAAAAACAATTTATTTTAAAATGTATTACGAGGGGGCTAACAAAAGTTCGGTAAGTTCACTAAAAAAAAAACCATAAAATCTTTTTCTATTTGTTCGTGATCTTTATCCCTTTTTTTAATCTTTTTTACATAATCGCCATTGATTGGAATGCATTTCTTATGCCTATAGATCCACTTCTGAAAATAGTCTCCATAATATCGCTTTTTAAGCTTATCAAGTTCAGCATGAACCGCATTAATTATCTCCTCGGAAAAGACCTTTCCTGTTAATTTTTTTTGAACTTTTGGAAATATTCAGATGCTATTTTCGGGGAATATGGTGCTGGACGTATTTCTTCGATCGCAATAAAATTACTCCTTATTTCAGCAGTGTGGGATGGCGCGTTATCATGATGCAAAAAAACAGCAAATCCTCTTTTTTCCTGTTTCCCGGCAAATTTTTGAGAACTTTTGGTAAGCGCTCTTCGGTATACCATTACGCAGTTACCGTCTGACCCTTTTCCTGTGAATAGCAGCTATGATTATAGATAGAGTGAAGTAACCTGGCATCATTACTTACCCTGCTGATTTTTGTTGTTTAGATTTTACGGGTGAGCTTGCTAGTGTTGGGCTGCATACCATGGACTGCTGGATCGTACTTATAGAACCAAGATTCGACACCAGTAACAACTTTACTAAAGTTGCTGGACTGACCATTTTCGAATTTCTTTAGGGAAAAATGGAGCAAAATGCAATCGAGTCTCTTTTTGGGCTTCATTTAATATTCCTGGTACCCATCGAGCAGATTTCTTTGTGATTATTTAATATTAGCGATGCATGGAATTCAACACCAATTCATTAGAAATCATTTCTTATTTCAATCATGGGCTTCGTCAATTTTGAACTTAGCCAGAGCTACAGTGGCGTCATCAGTGGAAGATTTTGGTCGACCTTCTCGGGGCTCGTCCTCGGCGGAAAAATATTCGGTCTGGAATCTTCGGAACCATTTAGAAATACCTTTTAAAGACGGTGCAATCGTTTCATTTACAATTTGGCATTTACTGAATATTTGTATTGGCTGTAAATTACGCCATAACCCGAAGAGAGTCACATGGCGAATTTCTGTTTGCGTTGGTGGTAGAATTTTATCTGACCTCAGCTATCTTGCATTTTCTCGTCAGCATTTTAGCCGACCATACTAAAATATCAAAGGAAGACGAATAAAGTAATTGCAAATAATTCGGCATTTTTAGATTTAACAAAAACAAATTGAATCAGCAATCAGCAATATTTGAGAATGTAAAACCATTGCAGTAGTATTACTATGCGTAAGTAGAGTGTAACTTGATTGTACACATTTCGCGTTCAATCCATTTACGTCCATATTTTTCGAATGGTATTAAAATTTATTTCAATTTCTTATTTCACGAATATAGTTTGATATTTTTTTTAGAGCCAATTACTTTCTTCTTCTTCTTTCTTTACGTAGGTCCCGTTTACGCGATTATAGCCGAATAAAAGTTATCGCAAAATTCATCTATTTTTTTCGCTGTTTGACGCCGTTTGAAACCAGGTCTCCCTCCACCGGTTGGAAACCGATGGGAGATATCCCTTTTTTTTAATTTTGCTCTTTTTTTAATTTTGTTCTTTTTTTTTCATTTTGTTTTTTTTTTTTTTAATTTTTTGTTTTTCTTTGTTACCCACCTGCGGTCCAATCGATCGAGGGCGCGTCTGATGGATAATCGAAAAATCCAACAGACCGGTGATCAGAAACCAGTCCAGACTGCCCTAAACCCAAAACAGATCGCGGAAGGTCGCGGTTACACTTGGCTCTTACACTAAAAATGCAAAATGTTCATCAGGTGCTATAAAATTGCGAGGGGAGAAGAAATTTATTTAATCATTTAAAGAACTCAGTAAGTAGGTTTTGATACAGAAAAACGAGTCAGAGGAATCAATGTTGGTGAAATGTATTTTAAAATCGGTACACAAAGATCTAAAAGTCGTGTATTTTAAAGTTTTTTCTGCATTAACACAATGAATAGGGCCTAAAGTGTCAAGATGATCTCTCTAAGTAGGAATAGCTTATTGATAACACCTCTTATCAATATAGTTAAGAATGAAACTCCAATTATCTTTCTACGACTATGCAATATAGGCACGACTTTTGTAAGAAGGTATGTTTTAGTTCGCATTCCATTTTAATTTCCTTTGCGCGAATAGCAGATATTACTTTCGTACAGATTACAATTTATCACTCTACAATTGATAGTGCGGACTCCATACAACTCAGCCATATTTCATAAAAGGTCTAACAATTTAGGTAAAGAGTAATTTGGTAATGTGTGGGCCCTTGACATCCTTAGCCCAACGTTATGATTGATACCTAAATTAATGAAGTCAGCAACTTATTCAACACTGTGATTATGTATCATATAAGCAAAAGATTGGAAACATTTTCTGGAGAAACACATCATCTTATAACTGTTAACTAACTTACCTTGTGGTCTGAAAGTTATATTCATCATATAACTGTTATGCTCAGATGAAAAAATATAAGTGAGCGTGAGAGTATTATTTGTAGAAATCAAACAAAAGCTTACTCTTATTACTTAAGGAAAAAGTAAAACTCTTCGCGTAACTATTATTCTGTTAGCCATTAATTACTGTTATCAAATAACTCTTATTTGTAAGCGATGAATTAAAATCGAATTATAACAAATATTCTGCGAGAAAGAAAATAGTTCATATTTACACAAATGTATAAAAAAAGTGAAATTAGTTACGATGGTAGAGTTAGAATTCAAGTTCCAAGTGAAAAAGGTAAGCTTCAGGTTGAGATTGCCAATTTGGTGGGTTGATCGCGGTGCGCGCTCCAATGTGCTATCAGGCGATTTGTGGAGACGAAATCCCACAATAATAAATCTAGATGTGGAAGAAAGCGTCTAATCAGTAAACGAGAAGACTGAATACTTATACGCGAGTCTCTTAAGGATCGCAAAAAATCTTCTTCTGCCCTTTCGAAAGAATATAGTAAACCAGTTGGTGATCGAACAGCTAGAATAATACTTCTGGAAGCATGTTTAAAAGGATGTAAAGCCCAAAAAAAGCCTTGGTTCTCAGAAAAGAATTGGAAAAATCGTTTGGAATGGACTCGCATATACCAACACTTCACTGAAAAAGTTTACTCGAATAATATGTGGTCCGATGAATAAAACTTCTAGGTAAGCTTAAATAGGATCGTCTTAAAATATTAACGGCCATAGCTTTTACCCAAGAGCAATTTTGAAGACATAACACAAATCTTATGAGAACATTATTTTTTATTTTCTACAGGTATTTGGAACACCTGGTGTTTTAGATTGCGTGATACCCACTGCCAAGCATGGAGGGGGCAGCATTATGATCTGGGGCTGCATGGCTGCTGATGGTGTCGGCGTAATGTTCGTCTGCGAGGGTCGCATGGACAATCAAAAGTACATAAATGTATTAGAAGCTGTTCTTCGTTAACGCACATTTTCGGCGTCACTACTTTAGACGGGGTTCAATTTCAGCAATACAATGCTCCGCGTCACAAATCAGCGACTACGATACGTTGGTTTAGAGATAACAACATTGTATCTCCAGATCTTAATCCCATTGAGCACATGTGGGCTATGTTAAAACGCGAGATTAAGGAACACAGTATAACATCAAAAACTGCCTTAAATAATGCCTTAGCAAAGCTTGAACGTAGCATGTCTAAGAAAATTGTCTAACTG